TGTCAATTTATTTCCAACACGGGGACCATGCAAAGCACCCAGCGCACCTTCCACTCACACGCCACTCTGACACAAAACACGCAGCAAAGGTGTCCTCGCAAGCCCAGAGACAAACGGGGTAGAGAGAAGCACTGCCAGAAAAGCGGTGAGGAAAGTTGTTTTGTTCCCAGCCAACTGACTCGGAGGAACCAAAGGACAGAGGAATTTCTTGCCAACTTACAGCAGCACGTAGGCGTGCGTGGCCTGGGCATGCTCCCAGCTGTACGGCAAGAGGTTATCCTGTCTCCTGTGCCAACATGCCTCTACACCCACAGGGTGAACGCTCCCGAAGACAAGGACTCAAGGAAAAACTGTCAATTCATATCAAACCAAGGGGTCATGCAAAACACCTAAGAGTGACTAAAAAAAAAAAAAAAGGGAGAAGCAGACATCATACATTAATCTTTTCAATACCTCAAGATAAAACAATCTGAACGGGATCCTTTCAGCTAGACAATTATGGTTTGTGTTACACCACATACATCTTTTCAACATATATCAGCAAAGAGGCATGGCTAGACAACAAGAGAACACGTTAATATTATGTCAGAAACCGCCTGTTTTTCATGAAACAAGTCATACTTCCCTATCTACTGATAGTCCATGAATTTATAAAGCCTTTTAAAAATAACAAGGTGGGGATTACGTGTATAGTCAGAAAAGAGATTAAGACATGCACTTTTGGCAAAATATACCCACTGAGGAAGTACTCTCCACGTCAAACAAGTTCATAAATGATTTTGATATAATTAGTCATTTGCAGGGGCTGAAAAGAGCAATTATTACCATCAGACTTCTCGGCATAGCCAAATAATGTTAAATCATTTGCAGCAATGAAGTGAACAACTTGGCTTTCCTCCCTGTATTGCCTCCAGGCTACATACACTGGAAAAGACTTGCTGAATTTACAGGTAATGGAGTTTTGTATCATATGTCCCATGCCACGCCTTAAGTTTTGAGGCACAGATTCAGCAATGAGTGCCAATTGTCATACTGTCACAAGTGATTTTAAGAGAAAACCTTCCACTCTCTTCAGTAGGCTTCAAAGTAGACCCTAAAAGCCAAATACAGAACTCTGCTCTGCTTCAGTAAGCCTCAAGTTGTAACACCGCAGCCCAAGGCTCTTATGTAAATTAGGCTGGATCGGGCCCATACTGCCATGGTATGCATGGTCAATTCAGTCTATTTTCTCAAGAGGAGCTGAGCATAATCCCAGTTCAGGGCACTTGGAACGCCATTCAGACACACGTACAAGAGGACAGAGGACTGTTGTTGATTTTGGAGCTCAATATTTGCAGGAAAGACTCAAATACGTTGCATGAAATTGAGTTTTCTTAGGGAATCTGCAGTTAACTAACTGAATAACATGTAAAAGCTGAACTGGTTTTGGGGTTCAATGGAAACTTCTGTGTATTCAACCACAAAGCGATTACTGGAAGACGAGGAGGAAAGGAGTCAGGGTTTTCAATGAAAACTAAACAAAGCAAACCTGCAAAAAGAAACCGGACTTTCTTGGTTGCATTTTCGGCATTTAAAACAATACTTACATCCTTTTATTTTTAAATCCAGTCATTACAAGTTCTTGTTCTTCATAGCAGGGAGTTATTCCTCATTTCCAAAAAGGCCGAAGGTTCTTCTGCTAGGGCAGAACAGCTGCCACCCAGCGTCCTAGCAGCGACTCTGCTACCACTGCGGGCAAATGTGCTCAGCGGATCAACAACTGCAAGCTGCGTCTTACACACCCGGTGTATTTCTTGATCAACAAGGGTATATGTAAGCTCAAGTCATTACAGACAGGCCAATTACAATATTTCCAGTCAGTGCCAGATGCCTTATAGACAACATAGGCTGTTTGCATACACATCAACCAACCTCCATACCAGCTGGATTCTTTACTTTCAACAATACAGAACGAAACTCCTTGTGGATGAGATTTTTCAAGAGCAATCTGGGACCACCTCAACTTTACAATCTGGACAGAGTAAAGAGTTACAAGAACTAGGATTTTTTTTTTTTTTTTAATGTATGTATACACATACACACACATAAATCCATCTGCGCGTGTGCGTGCACGTATTTATTTACTTTTGTCTTCTGACACAACTATTTACAGGAAGCCAGTGAAGAACTGCACCAGCAACCCCTCATTCTCTAATGTTCATCTTTTATGTTTCTCTTACCTTCCTGTGAAAATCCAAAATACCGTGTGAGATAAGAAAGGACTTATGAGCCTTGACTGAACACAGGAAGTGCCAGGCTCAGTCCTACAAAGACAGAGCTAAATTAGATACGGATAAAGCTTTCATGAGCAGCAGAACAGTCATACTCCTGCTCCATGGAGCAGTAAGTTTAAGCAGGGAGACCTCAGGTGTGAAACATAGACCTAGAGTATTAAAGGGCCGGGTTACAGCAGACCATCTGGCCAGCGTATGATCTAATCCTCATTTTTCTTGGCTGTGCAAATAGATGGTTTGAATAACGAGGGTTCAATAACCTCTAGGTTAAAGAGACACTCATTCTGTGTGGCTTTCTGGGGAGAAGGATTCACAGAAGTCACAGAAATGTTAATAACTCACAACTTATCTCGTTATCAAGTTTCCAACTTCTTCTTTTCTCCCGCCTCCCTCTCTTTTTCATGTTTTTGGTTTTATTTAGCCAAGAAACTTGCTAGGGCTCCATCTTCAGATATTTATGATACTGCAAATGTCTCAATTACCAGCAAAGACTGCTTTGCCAGAAACATGGTAAATTACAAGAAGTTTATCCTTTACATGCTAACATACTTGCAGTTATTGCAAGAATGCTACTTCTCAGTGCTATCTCCAGTCCTCTTCTGGCCAGCCCATGCCCCAGCTGACCAGCAAAAAAACCCCCAAAAGCTGGCACATAGGAAAATCTGGCCTAGATCCTCAGCTAATGTAAATTGGCATAATTACCTTGCTTTCAGCAGAACCAGTTTACACAACTGGGACTGTCACTCTTCATAATTAGCATACATTTCTTCGGAATAGAATTTGATCACTTCTGTAAAATTAAAGCAACCACTCACCCAGGGATGTCAGTTGCACAGGGTCGTAAAGCAGCACAGCCTAACACACCGAAATAGATGTCAAGGCAACCCACGGAGAGGCCTCTCTCCTCCGGGGCAAGGGGGAAAGTGCTGGCAACTTGTTCTTGCCACCACCAAATGGCTCTGCACACTAGATGAGAGATATCGGAGCTGGAGAACTGCTGATGTCCTACGTACCAGATAACCCGGGGGTAAACACGCACCAGGCAGTGCTGAGGCTAGCTGCCTGCAGCAGGCTCCCCAGGATGAGAAAAGAATTCCATTACCTAAGGAACTCATGAGGCCTGCGGAGATCCGGGTCTGGAACAGAGAGGAACACTGGGAAGGAGGAGGGGGGAAATCGCCGACTCATGTTTTATAGCCGTTGCTGTATCATTTCTTCTCCAGGCAGGAGACCCCATCACCAAAACAAGACGTATTCAAAAATACATAATCAGATAAGTCTATCCAGCTTCCTTTCGGGATATTTCCATCTAAAAACAAACGCAAAAGATGTTTTCTTTATAAAACAGTTTATAAGTTCCAACATGCCTCTTACACAGCACACCCCAGTACCTGAAGTTACTTACAGGGAGAGTAACTCCAAGTATCACATCAGAGCAGCTCAGATTTTTTTAAAGACAAACCTTCTTACTAGTTGGGAAGAAGCTGAGTTCTTCCAGGTGCATGAACTTTCTATGAACATTACTCTTTTAGAGTGAATGCTCAGGATTCGACAAGACTGAGACTCTCCAAGTATAAAGAAAGGATGTAATTGAATCCTATACACATACTGCTGACATTACCAGAAAACACCATTGTTGAATTTCAAGAAAAATAATTAAAGTATTGATACAATCACAAGGAAACCAACCCAAGCAAAAGGAGGATTCACAAATTCTGCTCTCAGTAATAAGAACAGAAACAAAAGTAGCTGAGCTCTGGGCACACACGTTGGCGATTTGTTGGCCGAGTTTGGGAATAATAATCAATGACTGAAGTCTATCAGGAACATACACCAGCCTAGGACACAAAGACCTCGCCCTAAAATTAGTGAATAGCATCAAAAAGAAATATGCAGTAAAAACTAACTCACCTCTTTGCAGTATAAGACACAGAGCAAAAGAGCTCTAAGAGAGTAACTGCACAGGCATTTCAAGAGTGTACCAAGTATCCCCCCCCCCCAACATCCCCAGCTGATGGGAATTCACAACTCCACACCCTGAGGGCCATCAGCTGCTTTTAGTTCTATCTGGAGCTTGCAAGACAGTTTCTAAGAAGTTCTGGAAACAGCTGGGTCCTCAATAGGTGTGAAACTGAATGGGTCAACATGGTTTCCGTACTTTAAAGGACAACGGGAACTCATAATGAGGACCTAAACTCTTCATCGGATCTCATTTCTAGTGTTTGCCACACTCTTT